CGGTCTAGGTAGACAGTTTGGAGATGTGCGTCTGTGTGCATATATGCTTGACCAAAATGTATTCTTTCTGTGTGTAGGGGGGAGGGGGGTCTGTCTTTCTGTCTGTGTCACTGTGCTCTGTCTGCGTCTGTCTGTGTCTGTGTGTGTGTGTGTGTGTGTGTATGCTTGCATATGATTGTTATCGCACTACAAGAAAAAAATAGCTCACATTGAAAAGAAAGCATAAGATTGCCATTAACAAGTGGGAGTACCTGGTAAAGCCCTCTATTAATACTTCAAAGTAGCAAACTCACTCTCCTTTGAATCTGTGCATCTGTTTTCTTCCCCCCACCCCATCCATTTTGTTAGTAGCTTGGCAGATTGGACCGAATTGCAGTCTATCAAATAATTTGTTCTTCTCCTTGGAATTCAGCAGGACCCTAATGAAGTCCAGGCTGTCCCAGATGACCCCCTTTCAGTCTTGTCCCTGGTCCAAGCCCCCTGGTGTTTCTCTGCCTGGACCAATCTGTCCATTTTTCCTGCAGAAGTTACTAGAGGTTACCAAAGGCTAACTGAGTTAGTTAAGTTAAGTTAAGCCGTTTCAGTCTAGACTATGGACGTGAATCCTTCTTCATTTCTTGCATTGTAATTACCCGTATACCTGTAGCCTCATCTTCTGAAGTTCACAATTACAGTAAGGATGGATAATTCAGTGGCACAGTTACATGTATCCCTAACATGGTACATACTACTTTCTCTGCTAAGCACTCAGCATTTGAGAAAGAGTATGGGGGTTAGCACACACCACTGCCAGTGGACTAGCCTAGCCCCTTGCTGTAGTGATTGCACAAAGTTGTGTGGCCCAAGGGCTATTGGAACAGAGATGGGAGCCGCCCTATGCACCATCTGGTATGGGAAGCACTGCAACTTTGAGTAACAGTTTGTCCAGAAGCCATGATTAGGTGTAATGTGAATGACAGCAAGAGAATTGCTTTTGATGATGATAGGTTGCTACTTGCATTTGAGATGTCAGGATGACTTGCAGGTATCGCACATCCTGAAAACAAGTGACAGACTTGCCCATAACTTTGCTGGTTCCTCTGTTGGACCACCCTCTCTGCTAACTGTGGGGCATTTCTTGTTATGTCTGGACCCAGTCTCATCAGTGCTGTTTCATTGGAAGTGGTCTGCGCTAACACGGGCAACCTGTGGCTAGGACGGATTTACATATCCAGCTAGTTCTGCCTCCCAGCATGCCTTGTTTTCTCAAGCACTGTCCCAGCCCAGATTATGGCTAAAAGTCTGCTGTTGTATGCTGAGAGAATGTGATGGTGGATTGTGCTATATATGATTTTGTGATGTTGAATGGATTACTTTTCTGATTTGATGAAATCGAGCAAATCAGGTTTTGGGTCTAACTGACACCAGTCAATAACACTGCTCCAGACCCTTTTCAAAAGAACCTGGATGAAAAAAATTAAGTTAAGTGTCCGAAATCATGATGTTACAGCTCTGTGCTTGATATTATATTTTTGAGACAGATGTATATAATGTGGACTTACGTATTAACAGACTGATTTAATGAGAAATCTACTTATATGTATTAGACATTTCAAGCTAACTTCTTGGGAAAAATCATACTGCCTCCAGCCTAATGACCACAGACATTTTTGGATGGAATGTCATTTCCAGCAATCCCACATTCCCCTGTAAGCCCGGTGGATTTAGCGTTGTTCGTTTATTGTGGTTTTTACTTTCTTGTTGAAAAAGGCGAGGATTTGAGTTTGTATAGGGTGGGAACGTGATCTAATCGTGTTTGCAACTTTTTCCGACTTCCAGCTTAGCGCTGGGTGGATACGCCTGTGTGTTCTTGTATTTATCCACTTTGGTGACCAGTTTGAACCAGCAAGCTAATTGTCCAGTCACTGTTTATAGCATGTTTCACATATTTCTTGTAATGCGCACCTGAGTATTTTGGCAGTGTTTGGGGGATGTTTGTGTGTCACGCCCTGGTGATAGTGTTGGGGCGCTGTCCCCATTTCTTACTGCCGGAAAAAATATGACCAATCAGGCAGTCGATTGGTTTTCCAGAAGCCCTCATAATTAGTGCCAAAAGTCATCTCCTTGCGATCATTTAACGCAGAATAAGTCTAGACGTTAAGGTTGAATTCAATACTTGCTCGTATCCTTGGGCGATAAATTTATTTACCGTACCACTACCAGCCATTCCCAGCATTTGTACCAAATGTCTCTGGGAAACTTTTAAAGCCGTGTTTGACAAACTGGCCTGATTGATAGCTGTGTCACAGGTATCGCGGTAACCGCGGGATGGAGAGACATAAAAGCTATCTACCGATGGAGAAAAGCAGGCTTTTCGCCTCTAGAGGTCTCTGCTTATTTGCACATACCAAAAGTGAGTAAGTTTGGCCCCAACACATTCCCCCTCCACCCTGAGTTCCCCTCGGCCGGTGTTTGCTGAAGCCTGATCCAGATCTGAAGTGGCAAAACTGTTTAGCCATAGCGACTTGGTCTGGCCACAGAGATAACTGCCATCCATGTTGGTCAGCAGACACAGACACTCAGGTGTCCAGTCTATCATTGGGCCAGTTCTCTTTGCCGCTCGACTTAACTAACTTAACTAGGTTTTGCATGACAGGAGTACTATTAGCTCACCACGAATTGAACTTCCGTCGTCCAAAACTCAACATGGAGCCTAGTTGAGTCGAGCGGTGAAGAGCTCCTGCAGCCCCGAAGAGAACCTTCCCCAACCACGATAGACTGAAAACCAGGCTAGCATGGACAGGGATTGTCTGTATGTGTACAGTCATGTTTTACAGTGCAGCCACATTCGATGTAGTGACTTGTAGGATTGATGACATAGAATTTCCAGTGACAGAACCAACTGCCAACCGAGCAGTTTCATGCCTTTGTCACAGTTGTCAAAACAGTAATACATGTAGTCATCATTATGTACCATGTATTGATGTAAACCATGGTACGCAATAATGACTAACAATGTGATGTTACTAGGTTTTCTTTTGTTGTGGTTGAGCAAAAAGTTTCTGTCATTCTCTTACATGACTAGACTACACAGATGTGGGGCAAGGAAAGGTCTAAGTATTCTTAATAATTTTAATCATAACTTAAAAGTTGAAAAGGCCATACAATAAAGTGGGGGAAATTTTTCAAATATTGGAGATATGATGCCTTCACAGTAGCTAATCAACCTAGACAGTATTCCCTACAACACAGTCCCCATTGATTTCTGAACAGTCTGTTGAGCAGGTGGGTTAACAGGTACCCTATTGTATACCTACAATGTACACCTGTACTTCAGGAAGCTGCCATTGTGTGGGTATACTGTACTCTGTGACCACAGAGCACACTTGATCCACTGTTACAAATTGTTCGTAATATACTCTTTACTACTGAGGTAAATGTACCAAATATTACTACATTGTTGGAAATGCCTGTTTCCCATCTGCTTCTTTCTTTCTTCATTCCTTTGCGCTCTTTTTTCACCTTCTGTTTTCTTGTAGATGTCCTTTCCTTTCCTTCATCACCTCCATAGCACACATCTAGTATTAAAAAAATATTACAAACATATAGAGTAAGTGTTCCTCTGATGTATTGTCTCAGAACTGTTTGTTGTTATACCGGAACAGTTCAATAATCGTAATACCTCTGCATTGATCCTGTTGCCCTTCCCACCAAGGTTCTTCACTTGTACTGTACACAACTTGAGTACTTGAAAGCTTTCTTTCTTCTAGATTCTGATCAACCGATGGTTTTCTGCTATCGGTGACTCCATTAGGACCAGTCAATCTGCCGATTGTGTGGAATTATCTATTGTTTATTTCTGTGTGTGCCAAGCTTCCTACTTCACTCCAAATATTGTCCCCCATTGTGACCCTCCATATTTGTACATGAAGGTTGGACGGGTACTGTTCACACACGGCTATCGTACGCTATTTGCCCCCCCGCCGTGTTAGGAAAGCCGCAGAGACACGCGCCTTTGTACCAACACTCGTCGCTTCCGTCCGCTCCTTGTGACAAATAACAAAATATAATGTTTACTCGCCATCGCTTCTGTGGGATGCGCTTTATGACGCTAATTGTTGTAATCATCAGGTCATTTTCTGGGCAGGCTACTCTGATAACAGCGATAAGGAAATTAAGTGCTTCAAGATCTTAAGTTGTTGATCATCGGATGAAATGACCGGCTTTAAGAGCACCTTTCAGCAGCTGGATTTCAAAGCAGTGTTTGCCGACTACTTGGTCTTAGGTTTCAAAAGTCAAGTGGAGACGTGACTGATAACTGTTTATTTGAGGGACGGAATCCGGAGGAAAATGTCCCAATTTGTTGGGGAGTGCAGCCGTGGGTCATCCAATAACCTGGGTGTGGAGAGCGGGGCGTGATCGTTCTCACAGAATGTCATCACTAGGGCTTGGTCTCCCAAGGGGACGCGTCCTGCCAGCTATTATCGTGTTCATTAGTGCATCCGGCTGTTAAAGTGTTACCTGTCTGCTAGCCGCTCTCAAGTAGGAAAAAATACAGGTTGTGTAGGGAGGAGTGGAGCATGGGTAGAGAGGTCACCCACAGTTCACATACTCCGAGTTTGAGCGCCTGTGCTCTAAGCCTAGCCCAAGGCCTAGACCTAGATGCTCCGTGAACAGAATCAGGGACAGCAGCAGCAGGATGTGTGTGTTACTGTAGATATAAGACATCATGTCAGCTGTGTACAGAAGGCTCAATCTTGGCCTTCGTAACATTTTTCCTTCACAACTTAGCCTTCCAAACTTGTTCACAAAGGAACGGATGCATCTTTATTGGAAATCAAGCACAAGATAGACTTCATAAGCATATATGCAACTAGCATACGCATCTACATTTTATATCTATGTAAAGACTGACATAGAATGAGAATTAAGTACAAAGATCTCCTATCATCCCAGGGTATCTACGATGTTCCTTGCAGTCTCTTCATGTGATTAAACACTGCGCTCCTTTTGTTTTGCAGATTGCTGCCATCGGCCCCACCACAGCCGAGGCGCTGACCTCAGCAGGCCTGTCGGTGGCCTGCACAGCAGAGAAACCCAACCCAGAGTCCTTACTGGCTGCAATCCAGGCTAACAGAGCTGCACAGGCCACTGAAGGTCCCACCTGATGAACTGTCCTCTAACTCTGGATCAGACAAGTGCCTCCTTCACATCATGCTCTTTACCAAGGAGAAGACCCATCTCCACACAAGATACTACATCCCTGTATAATGCTATACATATAAACCTAGGCCTACTCCACTCTATTCAACTGGTGACTGCTTTTTCATTATTTATGAACATTGTACCTGGTGTAGAGACCGAAGCTACATCAGAAAGACTTAAGTATATGTTCATTAGATAATGGTAGACAAGTAAGTTTGCTTTCTTTGTTGGTCCCAGAATTTTTAAGAAGTGATATGGTTGTTTTATGTGAGATCAAAGCAGAGTAGAAGCTGCAAGAGCTCCTGGCAAAAGGAGACAGGGCTCCTCCACCATTTGCTGGCTTTCCCTGGCATCCTCCAATCCCTGCTGCAATGTAAAACAGCGGATCTGATTGCACCTTGATAGAGAGAAATTCCCGGGGAGTTAGAGGCATTAGGTGCCCTAATACGTGGGTATTCCTGGTAGCCTACCCTGATGAACTCTGCCCGGCTCTTTGGTGTTCCGTTCCGGCTGTGGCTCTGGGATTGAACTCGACTGAGCAGTCTCTACGTCTTTGTGGAAGCCTACGTGAGGTAAACATGTGTACAGGAAAGAGCAGCTTGCTGTGAAGGATTTGCCCTGTGTGGCGTCTGTCAGCTTGTGAGAGACAAAGGATTGTAGTAGCAGTACCGAACTTCATTCTCCAAGGACGCCGAGTTTAACAGATCTCCTTTGTGGCTTCCTCTTTGAAAAGTGCAGCAACATCGGAGAATTTGCCCTGTAGGGTTTTTCCGTCCACCAGAAGCAAGGCTTTCCCTTGTGGTGTTGTTATCTTTTCCACTAACTCCCATGATGCCATGTCCTGTTCTGTATCTCATGTATCATTCCTACCAGAAGTGGAAAGCTAATAGTATGTATTGAGAGGAGGGTTGTAAGTTTCTCCTTCATACAAATACCTATGAACAGAGTGAAAACAGAAATGTCTGTGTCACTCCCTAACTTACAAACAACTGTGGTAACCTTTCAACCCATCCTGGAAACGTATATATCATAGACGTATCTGCAGAATTACAAGTATGCTAGTACCTGTTCACATGATTAGTGCAAACAGATTGTACGAAGATGATATAACAATATTGATGACACAGTTTAAAATAGTCAACATTCTTTCCTGATAGTGTCAACTGTAACTGTTGATATCTGGACTGATGTTACAACACTGGTGTCATCAGCAATAATAGAGTACTTCTTCTTCGCTGGCGTATTTATTTACGCAATTATGCAGTACGTAGTGAATGTTTTGCCTGTGTTTTACATGTTCTTTGACCATGTCTGCTTGTGTTGAAATTAAATTTTAAAGACACTCGTAAATTTGTCCTTCCCATGTATCTTAAGGGGGGGGAGGAAGCAGTTGGGACCTGAGCACACCTGTTGGCCCACCTGGTATGTCAACAATTCTCACAATGTAGTTAGGGAACACACCGTAATCTGACATGTCACTGAAGACGGGTAATTTCCTGCCGCCCCATTCAGGCCTGGTATGTACAAAGGACGGCAATTTCTCGGATGAGTGGCAATTTCGGAAAAACTGCGGATGGGCGGAAAGCACGGAACGTCATCACAGTTAAATATAGCTCTTATATATGTCTATTTATGTGTACATCTGGGTGTGGTGACAGGTAATTGTATGACAAAGAAGAGGAAGTGATCAAGGAAAGAAAAAGGCTAGCATTGATCCTACATGTACTACTACTTGCATTTCTATACACACACTCAGGCACAGATGCATATGCCTCCCCTGCACGCACACTCATGTGCGCGCGCACGCTCGCACACGCACGCACGCACGCACACACACACACACACACACACACACACACACACACACACACACACACACACACACACACACACACACACACACACACACACACTGTTTGTACAGTATGTGTGGCATTGTGTGCACTTACTCCTAATTTGTAAGTGTACTCTAAGTCAGTATATGAGAGTGTTTCAACAATCTTCCTGACAACCTGTAACATTAGATGTAACAAAATCATAAGCCGTTAATACAAATGTATAGCATACAGATGAACAGCTTTTTAAAGAAGTGTGTTTGTAATGAAAGTAGAATTTATTTTAGGCAAACTAGTCATCAAATCTCTGACTTTAGGTATCGGCACATACATGTAGTTCCCTTCACAGATGCTCCTGCAGCTTAGTGATTAGTGCAAATCAGACAACATAACAACAATCACATTAAGACATGTTTATTGTTGAAAATAAGGTCAGAGAATTGTGCGCCGTAAATGTTTACAGTAAATGAGTAATCTGCACTATAAATGGTTCTTCATGACGTATTTTCATGTTTCGTCATGACTGTATGTAGTTATAGACAGTGAAGCACAGTATGGCATTGTATACCTGTTGTCAGTGAACAGTGACAGCTATCAAAGAAGTTTGACCTAGAAATACAATTTCTCAAAAAAAGTTTCCAGGTGGTAACCTTCTTCTTCCTTCACCCAACCTTAATGTCAATGTCTGCCATAAATGTTACATCAGCGCATATCAGTCATTAACAAATACAGTACACATTAAAAATCTTTAAATTTTAACAAAGTTTGTCACACACGCACATACACACTTCCATCAAATCAAATGATGTCCTTGATCATCATCCTCAGACTCACTGTGATGGCTACAATGTTGTATAACGAGATTCCTGTCATTGCCCAGGTCTAACTGACCTATAGGGCGTCTATATGTCTGTGGAACCAGGCAAAGATGAGTATGACCTTGAGGAATGACGAGGTGAAATACCTCAGGATGTAGTAAAGTTCGTCTCCACAGCAAACGTGCACCGTGTGGCACACATCTTTCATTGGCCAGAGATACCGGCCAAAGCACTTCATCTTTAAGATGCTACTTCTTTCCTCCAAAACCCTGCTTAATAGCTGTTATGGGGTTGTCTTGGCAAATATACACCGAGATATGGCCTTTCAAATCCGCCACGAACTTGACTTGGAATGCCCTTCAAAACACACAAAATGTCAGCCTCGGTTGTGATGATTCCTCATCAAAGGCGCGGGAGCGTCGCGGTGTCATTACAGCCGGCTCACGGTGGGGATGATCAGCGGCTGTTTGGTCCTACAGCCTCCATCATTAGCCGCGGTGTTGAGAGTGGGACCTGATCCACGCTCTCGTTTTTCAGGCCTTAATAGTCCTGGTGGCGTGGCCCTGCTGCACAACGTGTCCATGTTTTGTCTGGGGGCTCAGAGACGCGCTGCCACCCGGGTAGAGCCGAGATCGTGCGGAGAATATTCCATATGCCATACTCCATTGTTGACAGATGTATGCGATATAAGGGCTAAACGTGAGATAGAGTCATGAACAGTCGATTCCAATTGGCTGTATTACATACATGTAATCTTCCTCTTTTGACTTGATTTTCTTTTGCGGTAAGACCACTTGCTTGGATCAAGTACGGTTACATAACGTCCAATGATTGCCTTAATCTGAACCTTCAAATCAGCCGTCAGATCTCATGCACGTGTTTCATGGTACTTTTTGGTTCAAAACGTTTCCAATAAATACGTGCAGCAGTGTTATTTATGTGATGGCCAGCCCAGCAACGAACTTCGCGAGCTTTGAACTCGGATTACCCTCTAGACGCGACAGAAAATATGCCAATCCTCTTTGCTACTTCTGATTTTCTTATAAACTCAAACATGTATAATATGCTACACGTAGGATAGTAAGCTTCTATATAACGTGTCCACCGTCAATATCGCTCAAGCTCTGTGGACATGACCCAAAAGTAAGTCGATAGCTTCAACTGCGATAAAGTATCTTTAATTTGAATTTCTATTTTTGTTCATCCATAGAGCAAACATATAGGTAGTGGCCGACTGATTCTAGCTAGGGATATGTTATACTTCTGGTCATGGTTTATGTTCTTCTCGTACTTCGATTCTGGACGGGTATGTCATAAAAGGTAAAAACAAGTGTATGAATTTGATGATTCTTTTGCTATGACTATGCCTAATAAAATGCAGAATTTAGAATTTTCTTGCTTCGATTCTGGACGGGTATGTCATACATGTAGAAAGCAAAGTCTTATGTATACATTCAATGAACGACCCATTTACTATGACAATGCCTAATGGAATTCAGAATTTTTATCGCGTTCCTCTCTGTGACTTTCAAAGTTGTGATCTCCGATAGTCGATCTATTTCACTCATCGAGTTTTCGGTGAGCCTGCCGGAAGCTGATTCCTGAAGTTCCGTTCACAGAAGTCCCCACACGACAGACTGGTGAGGGCCCCTCGATCTTTATCAGTCCTGAGGATCTCTACGTAAGGAGCTTCTACAGAAACTTGCCAAAAATGTTGAAAATGCATTGTCCTGTTCCGTAAGAGGGATAATCCCTCAGTTGAATCGTGTGGTCCAGCAAACACTACACAGCAAGACGGTCCATTCTTTCAAGGACGGGAACAGTTTTGCGATCAATTATTTTAACGGACGGCCTTCCTTGAAGAGTTACAGCACCTCTGTGATTAGCTGTTTGGAGAAAGTATACTTTGTTGTCTTTTTTTCCACAACCAGGAAAGTTTTCGGGGCTTAGGGCGGGGCAATTCCGTCGTAGCGTTGAGGCGTATAAGTACTTCAGACGTTGTCAATAGGAAGGCACACGTATTGGGCCGATGGTCGGCCATGCCTGACTAACAGACAGGGTAGAAAACGCAGGAATTTTTATCCGTGTTTGTCTACAAATGGGGGGTTCTCTTACTCTATCGTTGTTTGTAAGGACGACGCTGAAAACCTTTGTACAAACAAGGCAAGGTGCGCAAAAGTGCCGGGCCGCATTTTTGCAGTGACAGGGCGCGCGGGATGTCTTGGGATGTGCGCTTCTCGTGTTCTTGGAGGCGTCCGACGTCCTGCTTGGCTGAGCCCCTTTGTCTTCCGTCATTGTTGTCCATTACGTGATGTACTTTTGGTCGAAATGTCGGTGTGTTTGTGACAGGAGCGCTCCCCGCAGCCTAACAACAGTGCACTATTAATACAAACTCCGCACAACACCGTGCCACGGTTCCTTAGATATGGTGGCAACACCGCGCGGCGCAAGCACTTTTCTTATCTTTCTCTTCCATCATGATTTCGGACTTCCGAATCGCCGCCCCCAGAGGTCCTTACTGATACAGCTATATAACCTGGAGTCCGAGTCTACACCATGGCCCTTTATGCCATAGATGCAATCCAACCCGCAGTCCATCTAACTCACAAGGTCTCCCCACTCTCATACTCTGTCATCTCCGCTCTCACTCACACAATCTAAATTGAATCTTAATGCCCGTAATTGCAAGATATACAAAGGGTCCCGGAGAATTAGCTCTGATAATTGAATATCTTGGTTACTGCGATAAATATTTGAGTTAGAGATCGTGGTTGACAGTGGAAAGATACTTCACCCCGTTGAGTGGACAGCCCGAGGTGTTTGCTGAACTTTTGTGAGTCAGTAGTGGTCTCCAAGTCTCTCCCAAACCGCCAACCAGTCTTTTATCAGGTGAGTCATTTTTTTTTCGTGTCCCTCCCGACTCGTGATGGGCTCTAACGAGAGTTCGATGAGGGTTAGATGAGCTTGCCGAAGGCGCTAGACGGGAGAACAAACGACGTCCGTGTTGTTTGGTGTTTGGAGAGAAACAGGTACCGCCGGAGAGAACGTGAGGCCGTGGGAATTCCCGCGACCTCTGGCCCGACAATCTCTCGCCACCGGGTCTGCGAGGGTGCCGAGTAACTACCCACATGACCCGCTTATTGGTTACAGATGGGAGAAATCCTGCACCGAGGTTTAGATGTGGATGGGTACTTCTTACAAATGATATAATTCGATAATTGGACAATGGTAACCAACATGATCCCATTTTCTAACGGTTCTGAATCTGTCGGCACGAAACGGAGATAGACAGCGAGGCATCCTCTGCTGATTTGTGGGAGGGAAAAAATCGTAATCAGAAGGAGAATATCTCAAGAAATGTGTCAGAATTGAGTTCTTAATTGTTAGACAGGTAAGACGGAATATATAATAAGCGCGAGCAATGAAAGGGAATTTACTACAAGATGTTTCCTTTTCTGAGTAATAGAAGTAGTCCCATTGCATGGAGTTCGACGCATGCGGACACCTTGCAAATGATACTATGGATGACGTTGAATGTTGCAGCGACTGGAAATTTTCTTATATTAGGTTAGTACTGCGGTTCTTTCAGAGGACAATCAGGATTTGCAATTGCGACTACACGTTACCGAATGACGGACAAAATATATATTGAACTTTTATCTGAAACAGGATGCAAACGCCTAAAACCCCACAGGATGAGGTTGGAGCGCAAAGTCTATAGACACGGCATCTCCATAATCCAGTTAACTTTAGATTCCGGACTATCAATGTAGGAAAGCTAACTCAGTCGCTATTTGATATCTGATATAATAAGCCTTAAACAGCACACGGAATGACAGATATGGATTGAGTGATTTTCCCGTCTTAAGAAGCATAAGAGAATACTCTTCACATGAAAGCAGGGGGCAGGGCGATGTCTTGACTTTTCTCAATGCTCCTGAGCGTCGGAGATTTCGCTCCTGTGTGTTATGTCTATCTATAGGCATCCCGGTCACTTAAAATGTCACTAGAATACCTCCTAATGAAGTAAAAACAGAGCAACAGATCCACGATACCGTAACGTGGGAGTGACTTCTTGGAAAAGCCCGTAACTCTGACATCGGTGACAGAAACGTCACAGCACTTCTGCGGGGATCGTGGCATCGAGGAGCTTTTTAGTAGCATAGGAGGT